AAATGAAATGGGATTTGTCCTTGGTTGATTGTTGTTATATGCCATTTACTTTCTCTCACTGACAACTAGAAGTTGATACCCAGTGAAGAAATACCATCCATAACTGCTTACATAGTTAATCAAGCACATATCTGATCAAGATTTGAACAAAGATCTATTTTAATTCAGAGCCTTTAGTTTTCTAAGTCAGGCTTTATAAACTTTTTCTAAAATACGGGCCAAATGGTCTCTGTTGCAAATATTTTACTCAGCCATTGTAATACAAACACAGCCACAGACAATATGTGACTGACTGAGTGTGGTTGTGTTCCAATAAAACTTTATTTACAAAATTAGGTAGACAGTCTGTAGTTTGCTGACTCCTGCAAGTTGTCACTAAAATAACTAAAAAGGCAAAAATATTCATCAGTATTTGTATTCCACTACACAAATTGAGAAAGATTTGAGAGAGAACTGTGCATGTTGGTATTTGAGATACTTGTCTAGTACAACAGAGAACTAATTATGCATGCCTGGCTTCTCTTAAGCCTAGATACAAGGAAATGAGACCTCACAGAATAGGCTCTTCAGAGAATCTTCTAACCTGGAATGGAAACACTGGTTCTCATTTTATAGATAAAAAGGACTTGATGATTCGATATGGTAACATAAGCCCATACAGCAGAAGGCATCGGGGCAGGCAGGACCCCAGGAGAAGGGCCTCATTCAAGTCGTACAATGAAGGTGGTCAGCTCCCCTATGTTAAACAGAGATGATATTAAACATCAAAAGCTGTGCAATTGCAAAAAGTTTTTTTTAATGTAAGCTCCCTTCTAAATGTAAAGTTTGATTAATAATTTATGATCAAGATAAACAATCTCAATTAGAGGCAACTAGACCCACACCATCTTATAAGAAAGGATCCCTAAGATAGGCAACAATTTTGTCTCAGACATACAAACCATAGAAACATCAAAAGTAGTAATTTAAAGTTAGGGAATCAGAAGTCACAAAAGGTAGCTCTTTCTTAAGAGGAGTAGGCCAAGTCATATTCTCTCCATGTTTGCAATAGAAGCAACACAAAAATGGATATTTGAAGTGCCTCTCTCTCTCTCTCTCTCTCTCTCTCTCTCTCTCTCTCTCTCAGAAAAAAGTATGCGACTATTAGGAAAAGCAAAGGGTATGATGAGGAGTGCTCTATCAATTTTTAAAAGTCAAAGCCAAGGTTTTCCTTATCCATTTTTCCTATTTCTTCCTATTCTCTCTCTCCTTCATAAGATGTATTTGAAAGAACTTGGTAAACCATTAGGCCTTATAAACAATGTAAGTGGCATTATAAGTATTATTGGCATTATTGTTATTTTTACATTGATCAACCGAACTACCTACCACCAGGCTGACAACTAATTTTTGGTACTCAATGCTTCCACAGCCCAGCTAGCATAATGGAAAGCACAGTTGTTAGAAACATAACCATTCATATTTGACATTAACTTCAGAAAACAGATGTTCAATAAAAGGTTGTTAATTTAATAAATAGAAGAATAAATAGTAGTTACTCCATGCACATCAGTTCTGATTATCAGTTGATTGTCTTTTATTTTTCCTCTTCTATTTTAGTAGGTCAATACCCCATAAATGCCCCCCTTCCTCTTTCTGTTCTAGCTCTCCACAGTATCAAATGCTGGAGTAAAAAACAACACTTTATATTACTGTTAGTTATAGGCATAAACTCTCACTGAAAAAGTGATCAACAGGGAAAGAGTGCAACGTGTGTGTGTGTGTGTGTGTGTGTGTGTGTGTGTGTGTGTGTGTGTAATGGAGTAGGGGGTGGGGTGCTGGGACAGATGGACTAGTAAAGCCAGGAGAGATGATACAGACAATGGAGAAGGTAGGGGTGGTATTAAAGTTTCCAAAGACCTGGGGATCTGGCAAAGATCTTTCCTGCAGTTCTGGGCAGACAGTAAAGTACTAGGCTTGATTTTACAATGTGTAGCTCCTGCGACATATTCAGCTATACAAAACTTCTAAAAACTAGACTGATAAAACAGAAACAACTCAGAAAAATTTTAATTCATAAAAGCATAGCTAAAAGCAATCAAAGTCTTACGTTAGTTGTTAAGCATTCCTCTTAGCATGCAAGCAAGAAAGTACCCGTTCTCTCTACCTCAAAGTATTCCATTCACTTCTTTGTGTTGGTGCTGTTATCACACTTTCTTGACTAATGCAGTCTTATTTGTTTGTTTACTATATTCTTTAATAAGAAATCACTTTTAACGCTGAGGTCTAGCTTGCTTTCTTGGGAAAATAAAAATAGACATATTCCAAAGATAGTATTGCCATTGATCATTAGTCTAAAATGGGTAGTGGACCTTCAGGCTTATTTTCAAAACTTAATGTAATTGCCTGAAAGTCAATACATACAAACTAGGAGGTTAGCCCTTTCAGCATCCTTGGAGATTGAACTTTAATTTTGGAGCACTTTCGCTGGACCCTTAACAAACAAAGGCGGTAACTTTCCCCCCTAATTATCTCCCGCATTCCCCTTTTATTAAAACAAAACAAAAAAGTAAAATAGATTTAGGAGAAAGAGAATGGGGAATAAATACAATAATACAAGACCCCAGTGCAAAGTTTCCTAGATGCATGCTACTTGAAATTCTCAGTAGCGACTTTATGTTGGTCCCAAAATCACATTTTAAAATCCTCCCGCAATAGCCTTCACTAAAGATGTATTTGTTGAACAAGACAAAAATAATTGAGGATCCACCTAATTTTGTCTTGTACCATTTTCTGACACAAACATTGTTGTTTCCTATGTGTTATTAAACAAGCCCTCTAGCATAATAATTTTTAGCTACTAATTACCCTTTTAGAAATTCCTAGTGATTGTGGTATCACTCTTCTAAAGGACTAACGGTCCATTCTACCTTATTCATTCTTCTGCTTAAAGATGCTAATATAATTTCACTCACTTGTGAGCATAAGTGATTTAAAAAAAAAAAAAACTTCCCATTCATCTTATTTTCCTTTTAAGTAAAACAGTATTCGCCATTACCCTCGGCTACCAAAGAGCAGCTTCTGCCCCGCGTTAAAAAGGCTGCGTGCCCAAGCGCTTGCCTCAGAAAATTTTAGTCTCACCAAAGAGCTAAGAAGGAAAGCTGCTGGGAAGGTTCACAGATACCTGGTTTTACAAGGTTTTGTGAAAAGAGGTCGCCTTTAGATGAGGACTGCTCAGTGTTTACGAGGGTTGTTTGTCAAGCCCCAAATAAGATGCCTCCTCCCCACAAATTAAAGAATCGAGTTACAATCCATTATTTCATTTCTGATTGTTTTTCTTTGTAATAAGTGGGAAAGTGGATACTGGATAAAAGTCTCCCCTGAGTGAAATGACTCCACATTAAAGACTTCAATTAGCTATAAATCAGTTGTCTTTCCTACTGAGGGAGAACAAGAGAAAAAAGAGCGCGGGGGCAGTGAGAGGGAAAGAGAGCTGGACGAGTTTCCAAGTGAAATTCGGAGATACCTACTCACTGCATACCCAAAACTCCTTTCAGGGCTGTGAGGAGAATCTGATCCAAAGTGAGACGGAAATCAAACCCTCCCAAAGCTGAGGATCAGGTAGATCTCTCAGAGGTAGATCTTACATCTTAATAATTCTAAAATGAGGCTGAAGTGGTTAGAGACCCTCCTAAAACAAAACTTGATGCTTCAGGCTTTCCCCCCCCCCCTTGCTCCTGAACCCAGAGATGTGCCAAACATTGACACTATAGTGATGCAAATGATGCCTAAATGGCTGTAACCATTAACGACCTCTCATTAAAACGGCTTTCAAAAATTTGTCACACCACCTAAAAATAAATAAATAAATTAATTAATTAATTAAATTAATTTTTTTAAACTAGCAGGTACATCAAATTCATCTAAATTGGCACTCAAAACAGGAACCACCCTGATTTGTAACCTAAAACTCAACGCAAGTAAAATTTTCAGTATTCCGATGTTGATTTTTGTATTTCTTTCAACTGTTAAGTCAGAACCAAACAATTTACTTCTCGACAAAATTTAGTTTATCGTGTAATAAGCACGATGGAAAACAACCTTTAACCATATTGTGTGTGCTCAGTGTGTGTTTAAGTTAATCGGGAGGTTTAGGGCAGACATCAAATGAAAGAAAGAGAACAATCAAACAAGAGAACTGTAAAATGAACTCCAAGAAACACGACTTTAAATCCCATCCCTCCCTCCCAATCCTATAACGCTATAATTCCCCCATATGCGTAATTAATCATTTTTTTCTTTGCCGAGTTTTGTTTTGTTTTTTTTTAAAGAAAGCAAATTCCATGTATACTAGGGAGCGAATACCATATTCTTTTTTTAATGGGGTGCAACAAAAAAACATTCGTGCTTGGCAAACCCGAGATGTCAGAGTTCGTTAGAAAGAGTAATTTTTTTTCAGTTCCAAAGCGAGCCTGTTGATTTATACAAATTTAAAGACTTCCCAAGTTTTCCAGGGAAACTGCCGCCGCCGCCAACATTCGAGCGCGACGCTGACAGCGGGTCCCCCGCGCTCGGCAGCCGGTTCCCACGCGCCCCTCCCGCCGCCGGGCCCCCAGGACCTGCGGGGCGGGCGGGCGGCCGAGCGGCCCTCGACGGCGGCGGCGGGGGACCCCGAAGCCACAGCCCCTCTGCCCCACCTGAGGAGCCCACGGCTGCCGGCGCCTTCCCCGAAGCGGTCGCGACCCCGAATCGGAGGGAAGGCGACAGCGGGAGCGGTTTGGGGAAAAGCCTTTGACGGCGAGCCCTCTGCGCCACGGTTCCCGGGTGCTCAGCCCCCCGAAGGGTCCCCAGGCTCCGCGGGATTTCGGCAACCCCCACCCCAAGCCCGCCGGGGCGCCCCTCTGCCCGGGGGGATGGACAAGCTGGCCCCGGCGACCCGGCCCCCGCCCCGCGCCGCCTAACAGATCCCGCAGGACGCGCGGCAGGCAGGTTGGAGAGCGGCGCGTGGCCGGCCCTCGTACCTTGGTGAACTTGATCTCCAGGTTGGGCGTGGGCGATGGCAGGAGGTGCAGGGACGCCATGAGCGCGGCGGGGTCGGCCTTCACCTCGCCGGGCATCTCGATCTTGCTGGAGGTCATGGTGCGTGTCTGTCGCCCCGCGGCGCGGCGTGGCGGTGCGGGCTGCTGGCGGGCTGTGCGCGGGGCGGCGGGCGCTCCCTGTTTATAGGCAGGTGTCAAGCGGGGGCGCTTCTTATTGGACGTGAGGGCCGGGGCGCGGGGGCTGGTCCTTTCTACCTAGGACTTGGGGCGCAGAGATTTACATACAGCCCGGCGCGCGCGCCCACGGTCAAGGGCGTCCGCCCTCCCCCCCACCACCACCACCCCCGCGCGCGCACACGCCGCCCCCCTCGACGGCGGAGCGCGGGCCGGCCCGGGGCTCCGCGGGCTCGGGGAGCAGCGTGCTGGCCTCTCTCTGGGACGATCACCTTGGCCGAGGGCGGGGGTGGGTCGTGGCCCCAGAAAGTGGGTGAGAGGGGTGCGCGGGGTTGGCGGGACCAGCCCGGGGACGTAGCTACAGGGGTGCGGAGAACCCCTCTCACCCGCGTGCCGGGAGCGGGGACCCCTCCAAATTCCGGCGCTCCTTTCCTCCCCGGGGGCCAGGGAAGGGGTGCCCTCAGCCCTCCTTCCCGGGGCACGGGCGCGGGGACCTGCGCAGCGAACCCCGCACACCTCACTCTCGTAACCGAGCCCCAGGTTCGCCTTGGCCGCAGGGCCGGGGCGGGTGAGGATGAGTCGAGTTCCTCGCCCCACACTCAAGGAGAGTGTCCCCCGCGCGAGCCGGGCGCCGCCGCGGGCCCCCAGCTGGCTTCTCCCGCCCAGCTGCTGCCCTCTGCCGGCCGGGACTGCCAGGCTGTCCTGGGGAGGCGGGCTTTGGACCTCAAAAGCTTCTCTGAGTAGCAAGTTTCATTTGCCCCTCTCATCTTTCTTCTGGGATGCCTCCTTCCAGCTCTTACATTCCTGTCCCGAAAACACACAGACGTACACTTGTGTTGCTTCTATTGTTCTTCACGCTAAAAGCTATCATCCCGCTGGACATGGGGTCCCTCACTTAACTACCCCCTTTGGGCTTGAGCTTCCATATTTTAAGTGTTTCCGTAGCTCCAATGGGCTTTCTTCTCGTTTGTGGGCGCCTAAAGGTCAGCATGTAAGTGTCCATCTGTCAAGAGCCCAGCGACCCCATACCAGAATGGACTTAGGGCTCAGTGGACTAAATCTGGGTCCAAATGAAAAAATCTCTATAGGGCACTTCCCTCCTTCCATTATAATCCTAACAGGATTATATATCCTACTGATTATATCCTACTGATTATATATCCTACTGATTCTTATCTAAAATGCCTTTTTCAAAGCCCTGAGAACCCCATTTCTTTGGGGGTGTTAAATGTCAGCCAGACAAGATCTTGCCTTAAATATTTTCAGTACCTAAACCTGCCTAATGTTCAGTGCTTGGCTGCTAAACAGTAGATATAGACAAATATATTTTCATTTTAGTATTAGGTCTACAGACATAGCTTTCAGCTGGAAGTATATACCCATGGGTTCCTGAGTGAATTGTTTTTATAGAGAAACTAGGGACCTTAGCTTTGGTAGTTGAGAGATCTCAATTCACACAGGATCTCTATACCCAAAAATCGTGCTTTAATAACAGTATATGTTCTTGAGATACAATTTTAGAGGGTTAGGGATACAACTGAGGAATACAAGAATATGGTCTTAGAATTAGTTGGGGAGAGAGGGAGAAGGCAGCAGCAAAGGAAATAAATCAACGATGCTGATGGAACAATTCTGCAAAGGTGTTTTGAGAGCTTTCCAATACAAGGAAAGATGCTTGGAGTCTGGGACAGCCTTTCCTGTCAGTGAGCTTGAAACCCTTCCCCACATAGATCCCTGACTATGAAAGCTTGTGGGGGGGAAAGTTACAGAAGAGCATCAGCAGCACGTTCTGGACGCCCACGCACAGAGAATGCTAACCTTTCAACTAGGCCTTTGGGGAGACGTAAGGTCTCCACGAGGAAGTAAGGACAAGCGGAAGGGTCCAGAGAGCAAAGGCATAGAGATGTGAGGATACTTTTTAGGAAACATCAATGTGGCTGGAGGAGCAGCAGGGCAAGACAGTTGATTCAAGGTTGTAGGGACTTTTAATTCTTGAGACACGGAGACATCATCAAAAGGTTCCAAGGAGAAATGGGAGATCTGTAAAAATTAAACTGATAAATGAATAGTGTCAGGAAAGACTATCACAAAGGAAAAGCCATTTATTTATTTATTTATTTTTCTCTCTCAAAGCATAAGATGGGGTTGTTCGTCCATGACCCACTTCTTGCTTGCTGACTCCAGTTCTATCATCATGGCTGGGAAAATCTCTCCCAGAGAAGAAACAGTGTGATGAAATGATGCGCATTTGTTACACAGTGAGGCAGAGCCAATGAAGAGATCCCCTTCTTCTTCAGGCAGGAAGGGAGGATCTCTTGGATTTTGTAAACATCTCCAGAAGACCCAGGACAGACGGCACACTGGTTTGAATTGTTCCCTGATGGCTACTTTTGTGTGAGATTTGCTCTCTAACTAGATAGTCAAGTGATCAGCACAGGAACTGTGGCTTCTATTCCTCTTGTTCCTTCCCTCAGTTCCTACAGCAGCATGGGGCACACAGTAACTATTTGATTAAAATATTTGTTGGCAAGACAACTCTGGTAAGGGAAGGAGTGTTAGGTCCGGGCAGAGGGTAGGGGGGCGTACAGGAGGCAGGGAATTGATATTTCACTCTCACATCAATGTCTCTCTGTCTCCCTCTCCCTCTTTTGCTCTAAAAGTTTTTTAAAAATCAATAAAAAGTATTAGTAGCCCTGTGCACAAATCTGTGTGCCAGTAGCTTGCTGTTGCCCTTCTATAGCTCTCCGTCCGCTGCCCCGCTCTCCTGTAGCTCCCTCCATCTCCCCACCCCCTATAGCTCCCTGCCCCACCCTCCTGCTGATCTGTGATCCGGTCATTACACAGACCAGTCATTATGCTTAACGGCATAATGAGCATTTGAATACTACATCTTTATTATATAGGATATATTCTAGAGGCCCAGTGCACAAAATTTGTGCATGGTGGGGGGAGGGTCCCCTCAGCCCAGCCTGCACCCTCTCCAATCTGGGAACCCTCAAGGGTTGTTTGACTACCGACTTAGGCCCTATCACCCCAGGATCTGGCCTAAACTGGCAGTCAGACATCCATCTCACAATCCGGGACCACTGCCTCCTAGTTGCTCACCTGCCTGCCTGCCTGATCACCCCCAACTGCCCTGCTCACCCTGCTGGCCTGGTTGCCCCACGTAGCCTGCTGTTCAGTTGTTTGGTCATCCCTTGCTAACGCCTGGTTATCCCACGCAGCCTACTGTCTGGTCATTACTGTGAAGGCATCCAAATCAACTTGCATATTACTCTTTTATTAGTATGGAGATATATTTTGCCAAGCTCTAATTCAATATGAGACCGTATATGTCTTCTTGGTTTTTATTCATAGGATTTATTCTTCTGTTACTTACATTTAAGGATCCTTAACATCTGACATTCTCATTCTTTCTCCCTCTTCTTTCTTTTATCTTATTTTATTATCTTCTCATTTCCTCTACAGATTTCAAGATGGTTTAAGTCTTCTCCACAACTACCTTCAGGTTGCTAACATTTTGAATTCCAGTCTTTTCCCTGATTTTGTTAAAAAACATTTCCCCGCCCTTATAATATTTCCTTCTTCCAGTATCCCCCATCTATAATTATTTATTGTTTAGGATAGATAGTGTTTAAAACCTTCTGTGCAAGGGAATGTAAACTACAGCATGCTCTATTTATTTCCTTGTGAAAACAGTTTATTAGGCATGGCAGAGCTAATCTCGTGGACTAGTAGAGGAGAAAAATAAATTCTTGCCTCGTATTTCCTCACTTCAATCATAGAATGAAAAAGCATCAATTTTATGTGAAGTTTGACTTTATGAAACCATAGCAATTTAGGCTTCTTTTTAGTTTTCACTTAGGGGAGGGTAAGTGTTTCTTATTTGAGAAACATGCTTTAGAAATCAATGAGGTCCCAGCCAGTGTGGCTCAGTGGTTGAGCATCAAACTTGGAACCAGGAGGTCACTGGTCAATTCCTGGTCAGGGCACACGTCCAGGTTGTGGGACTTAATCCCCAATAGGGAACATGCAGGAGGCAGCCAATCGACGATTCTCTCTCATCATTGATGTTTCTATCTCTCCCTATCTCTTCCTCTCTCTGAAATCAATAAAAAAAATAAAAATAAAAAACCATATTGTAAATAAAGAAGAATCAATTAGAGCAACTGAATGGAATATCAAGACTCCTCCTAAAGAAGGAATACTTTTGGTTTTGACAGTAACTGAATGCAGATCTTGAACTGCAAGCTTCCCTATTCAGGAGCTGTTTCAGCCTCCGGTAGTCTGCCTAATGGCCTTTCTGTTCCTCTTACTAACTTAAATGACAACCTACCTTTCCTGACAGACACACTTGCGTTTTAATTTATCTGCCAAAATAAATCACACATTATAGCATTTCTCTCTTCTGTGTTAATTGAATCAGGTCCTTAAATGTCTCTAAGTCTAATGATTTGAAAGAGGCACAATGTTTGAAATATTCAAAAAATTAGGACCCTTGGGTTGTAGGCAGAATGATTGCTTATTTCAGATATAAGTGTTTCCTAATGATCTCATTCATCTCAAATACGATATGCTGGGCTACTTTATGTAAAATGTTTCCATGAAAACGATAGCAGGAAAGCTTAATGCATGGTATATTTATAGAGAAGTGGTATTTAATTTATTAACAAAAACTTGTACAGAGCTTTACATATTTCAACACAGAAATGTTTAATGAAGCATTTTGGGCTCGTTATGAAAACTTCCATTAAATAACTTCGTTTATATTTTATTTAATGTGAATATTAACTTTTTATTTGGGATCTAAATGCTCATTCAATCATTCCTTTCCTTCCAGCGTCTATAAGAAAAGAGGCTGAGGTTGTGGCATTTATTAACCATAAAAATTCTCAACATATTAAGTCCCTCGTGGCCCAATGTGG